AATCTTATATCTAGGCTTAGGCCCTATGCCAATGACATTATGCGATAAGTAAGTGAACCGTTCAAGACCATACTATATAAAACACTTATTTAAATTACATAGTATCATATTATTGTGATTGTTGATTAAGGAAATAATATTTTATTCGCGTGCTGGCTGATGAGGCTATGCTTGCTGGCTGTGGCACACGTGCCATAGCAAAACTGTTCTATCACTGTTTGCCATCACTGTTCTAGAGGATTCCAGAAATATGTGAAAAAATGAAAAATGTCTTCGTGGTGTTAACACGTAATGGGTGTATTTTACAGAAAGTTTGCGCTAAATTTCTTACTTTTTGGAGAACATCTGGAAGAACAATGAAAACATAATATTTCAATGTTTTACTTCTGATCTGAAATTTTTTTCTTAACATGTTTACCTTCCCTTTATTTTCTCTACTTTTCACTAGACACAAGTTTGAAAACTATCAAAAATGCTTCTAATCATATCACATGGACAGGCATTAAATAAAGGATATTTTTTTATTAATAAATAAATTGAAAACTGACAATTTAAAAGATTAATCTAATATGTTAATTGCATCACACAGGACTGGTGATAGGCATTTACCCACCTGTAGATCCTAAATTTTGCTGCCTAGTGCCTTTCTAAATTCTGGTTCTAATGGCTGTTGTAAATTCTAAAAATTCTGCCACGCCAGTTTTGTAACTGGCCCTTATCGTATTTATTTCATATTTGTTCTGAATGTTCATATTGCTGAAGAAATAAAATTAGAAGCTTTTTCTATACATTCTTAAAGCATTTAATTTTTAGAATAACAGAAATCTTGAATTAAATCCAAAACTTTTAAAATGAAAAAATTTATTCTTTAGAGGTATATACGGCTGTTATTATGTAAATTACCCAGTTGCTTAACTTCAACCTTTACTGCAATTTCCCATTTCTGTATCCTCACCAGAGTGCAAATCACTTGGACAGTTTTTAAACTGAGGTGTATGAAGTGTAGGACAAAGGTATTTCCGCTTGCTCTCTGCATTAGTTCTTGCCAGCCATGATAATTTGTAATTATTTGACTTTGCATGATCGCTGCCAACATTTGAATTTGGTATGACAATTGAGGTACTAGGCCACATTAAATTAACATTCAACTGTATAGTCTTTGACCACTAGTCTATATTTTTAACTTGAATTTGACTGTTCTTGTTTAACAACATCACCACGAGCTGTAATTGATTTTGTTAACGTAAGAACATGCCTTTATATTTTAAGTTCTTTTTAAATAAGAGGCTTATTTAAACCTTTGTCTGACTTTTCAGACATAGCGATAATTTGCTTCACATCTTGTTGGGGGTGGGACTATGTATATTTTGCCAGAGCCGGTAAATCCTCATAGGTATGTTGTAGAGAGGTTAAAAATTTAAGAGATAAATAGGGTTCCTAGTGGTCCTTATAAGTGCTTATAAGTCCTTATATTTGAAAATAAAATATAAAGGCCCTTATAGGTGCTTACTTTTTCTTTAAAGCCCTTATTTTTTTGTTTTTAGTGCTTATTTTTTTTTGCTTTAGTGCTTTTTTTTTTTTTAATGAATGCGCTATTTTTCCCGGTACCAAAGCCGAAACTAAATAAACAACTTTTCTTCCTAATATGGAATGTCAGATGGTGAATCATACTCCCGGAAATAGCTTTTCCCCTTTCTCTGCATTAACATAACCTTTGGTGTGCACGAAGAGTACAGACAGGTGCCCGTCGTTCTATTGGTCAAAGAAATGCGAAAGTACTAAATAAAGGGAAAGTAATCGAATAGTCAAAATAATTTTGTTTTTTTGGCCAATACATTATACAGTACGAAGATTGGGAGGTTCTTCCCTTTCTCCGCAAAATCTCGAATATTGAAACTGTTACAGTTCGCTGCAAAACAAGCAACGGACTTTTTTTTTTTTTTTTTTTTTTTTTTTTTGTCACTTTCCAATGTGGATTGAATAGGACTAAAAGTTCTGTGGTCTACCAACCCAAGCGAAGAATGATTCTATTCTGGAAATTTAACGCCGTCTGTTGAAAATTAGAACGAAAAACACCCCAGTTATTTAGTTCTTTATTCTCCCAATACCGGCAGCTGTTGATTCCGATTGCGTAATATCACATAGGGAAGAATTACGGAGCACGTATTGCGCAATAACGCTTGCAATATTTTGCAGAGATAATTAATTTTGATGTTCTGTCCGAGATTTGTTTATGAACACTTAAAAGAGTTTTACTGTGCTTGCTAAGCAGAATATTTTTCAGTTCCATTGGTTTATTTTTATATGATGTGCATATCGAAATGTCAAAAGCATTTATTTAGGGAAAAAATTTAAAGAGCGGCTACAGTCTACCCCACCCCCCCCTCCGCTCCTCTTTTTCAAGTTACGCTGAAGTGTCCGAATATTCGCCAATTTCCAAGTATGCGGGTTAGTTAAGATTTTACTATTAAAGGATGACTGCATGAAGCAAATTTCTGTCTTCTGATTTCAGAAATGTTCCTCTTTTTTACTTAAATTACTTTGCTTGCAATATCTGTTAAGAGAAAACTGATATACAATGAAAATTTAGAAAATGTTTAGAATTTAGATTTAAATTATTTAAATATCAATATGAGTGGAAAATAAAATTGTATTTATTATTAGGTTCCAAGTGAATACAATAAATATGCCTTATTATTATTTTTTTCTCTATTTTGAACTGAAATTTCATCATTAAATCTTGTAATATAGTTTTAGTTCTTTGCATATTTTTTTTTTTTTTTTTTTTTTTTTTTTTTTTTTTTTTTTTTTTTTCCCGCTCATTGTAAACTAGTTCTGTAAATTGAACTATTATTTAAATTTAAAAAAAAAGTAATTATTTTCCATGGTTTAGTAATACTCATTCTCTCTTAATAAATACTGAATTTCTCATATTTTAAATTACAAGTCTAATTTTTCTTTTAAGGTTATGCAGTTGTGTATAATGTAATTAGACAGCTGCTTATTTTTTTAACTAAAATGTGGCTATGAACCCTGGATAAAGCACGGAGAAACTAGTGAGAACTTTGGTTTGCATATTGAGACAAATTTCTAATTGTTCAAAAAGATAAAGAGAAGGAAATTGATATAAATTAGCCAAAATGTCTGGAAAGGCTTTAAATTAAACAGACACATAAATATTTTTTGAGTACTGTTTGTACTGTTAGGATAATTATATCCTAAGAATCAATGTTATAAATTATATGTATTTTAAACTGTGAAATTTTATTAGGTTGTGATTTTAATAGGGTTTTTTATCAAATATTATTTAAGAATAAATTAAATTTAATAGTGGCCATGTAAATCCATAATGGCTAAGGTTATCTAACTACCTAATTTAATTATTTATAACTAACCCTTAAAAATTATTTCTGCATATTAAAGCGAGTTATTGCCTTTCATTTATCTTTACCGTGGTCATGAGATAAAACACAAAATTGTAAAAATTCATATAAAACTTATGCTTCACATCTAGTGAGACTTAATATGAAACAACTTATCACCTCTGGTGCTTTAATTGTTTATTGGAACCTTAAATTGTATTAACTTGGTTACAACCACTGAACCTCTACACGAAGCTTTGATACTAACTTTCAAAACTTGCCAACCGTTCTTACATCAGGCCTTTCAGGTCTGTTCTGATAAGCAAGTCTCTCTAGGTAAACAGCAATGGTGGCTCTTATGTTATGAATCGTGCTGATTATAATTTTACTTCTCATACCTGCTGTTTACTAAACCTCTAGACTGAACAACTGTGATAAAATGAGATATAAATAAAAATCAACATAAAGGTAGCTGTTAGTAAAATGTAAATAAAATGTCACTTATCTTCTTTTAAATATGTTAATAAGAGTAAAATATTTAATGCTACTTGATAAATTTCATAAAGTTTATTTTATTCTCAAACTTAATAATTATGTTAATTAAGTTATGTTTAATAATAATGCATCCTACCTACCTATCTATTTTATTTTTGGGGTGGTATTATAATAGTGAAGTTCAGGCATGGATAATATTTTTAATTGAATTTATTCAGTTCCCATTTGCTCATAGGTCCTTAATTTTTTTCATTAATGGTCCTTAAAATTACTTAATTTCCATATGCAGAAATCTGTACAAACCCTGTACTAGCCTTCTAACATGTGTAACCCACATCATAAAAAAAAAATTGCATTCTTCATCCCTAGCATGCATTCAAATGAAAATCTCAAAGGTTTGTAATTCATTGACCAGTGTGTGTACTTTTGTGTCTATTCAGCAATTTATAACAAAACACAAAATTAGCTCTTTGACATCCTCCATGTAGTCCTAATATGGTTCTCTATGATATGCTTCCCTTTACACACTTGAAAAGGATTATTAAGGGAACATGGCATAGAGACGTTACAGCTTTCAATGCAATTACATCAGCTGTACTATATACTAGTGTGTTAGATGTTTTCTGCATGCTCCATATTCAAGGAGAAATGACTTTGAAGGTGCTCAGGGTAAATAATTGCTAAGTTAATTATTTTTGTAGTTATTTTATTAAGCTCAAAACATTTGAAGACAAAGGTTGGATTTGCATGTAAGAGTAAATATATTTTTAAATGTTTGTATTTACAGCTTACTACATGCTGTGTGCAGTTCTTAGAATTGTGCCTTCCTACCAATTTGGTGATGTTCTACAACTTTTTTACCATATGTACCTTCTGAGGTATTGCTGCTAAATAATAAATTTTGCAACTTAAAGGGTATTTTCATCAGTCTTGCCTAGTGGATATAAGTGGTCACTTTACCTTACTAACATTCACTTTCATGGCCATCTTCACTCATAAGTTATTTGAATAATGCCTTTTGCATTTTCTTGTCAACCCTGTATGTATAATGTTTGAGTGCTGATGTTATAAGTATCTTTCATTTATCTTGTATTTTATATACTTTCACTATTTCACCAGTTTTAATGTAAATATATTTTACAGCCCTGGATTCCAAAATTTTGTGAACGTTTTGGTGAAAATGGATGGAGCTGAAAGGAAATCTTTTCTTCAGTTTGCTACTGGGTGTTCATCATTGCCACCTGGTGGTTTGGCTAATTTGCATCCTAGATTGACTGTTGTGCGCAAAGTTGATGCTACTGATGGGAGTTACCCATCAGTTAATACTTGTGCCCATTACCTAAAACTGCCAGATTATTCCTCTGAGGAAATAATGAGGGAACGACTTCTAGCTGCTACAAGAGAAAAAGGTTTTCATCTGAACTGATCTAAGTGTATTTTAGTTAAAATTAAGCTGTCTTTGGTTATTTCCTTGTTATATCAGAACTGGAAAAGAAATTTCTGTTGTGGCCTGAAATTCTCAGGGATTTCCGACTGAGAATAACACAAACTGTGTGCCTCCCCTAGTCCTCCAATTTGTCAAATCATGAGAGCTTCCTTCAAGTGAGATAAGTACATTAAGAACTGTTGAAGTACTTGTCCATTATACTTTTTTACTGTAAAGGATTAATAATTGCCTTTTTCAAGTGGTGCCTCATGATATGCAACAACAGTGCAGTTAGTTGCTTTGAAGAATGTAAATAGTTCCCTTTTGGGAAAACACTTGTGATATTGCTGTGTTTATTAATTAATGAAGGGGATGTTGTAAACATTTATTGTACGTTAGTAAATACTTTATAGCTTTCCTCGCATCAGATTTTGAGCTGGACCTTGGATGAAGACTCCAGTTTATTCATTTTAATGATGAAACTGTTGGATACAGTAAGATTATCCATTCCATATCCCAGCACACTAAAAACAATGGATAGAAGAAAAAGTGATGCTGGAATAAATTTTATGAAGAAACAAAATTATTTTGATTTGTTTATTTTTGCTGTTTCCAAGAGAAATTGTAGATTAAATTAATACAATTATTTCACCCTTCCCACAATTTCATTAATTTTCCTATGTAAATTTTAAAATGAAAAGGATCAATTACATTTTTCAGAATTTAATCTGCAAATTATGTGTGTTCATTATGAATTAAACTGAGAAATTACAGTATGAATGGTGAATTAAATATGCATGTATATATTCATGAAATAATCTATGATTTTTAATTTATTTGAATAAAATTGATTTTCCTGCCTGTAAAAGTTTGCTTAAATCAGTATGTATGTGTACTAATATCTGTAAGTCAGCTTACAGTATTTAAATATGTGTCGTCTTCAGATAATGTGCAATTGGTTTCAATATTTTATATGTAGCACTTGTGGTGCTAAGATCATGATGCATATATTTAGATTTGTAGCTAAGTTTGGTGGACTGTTTTGTTTTGAACAATTTTCGTTGCTTCTCATTTTAGTATTGTTGTCAAATAGCATACTTTTATGAAATCCATTGGAATACAAATTAATTCTATGTTGTAACAAATTAAAAAAATCTACATGATTTAAAAATCAAAAATTAAAGAAATTTTTGGTAATAATTCGTAATAAAATTATTTGAAAAAATTGACGTATAGTGCATATTTTACCTCACTTTATTCTGTTATTTATTATATGAAATATTTATATATATATTTCTTCCTTTTTAAATTAAATATGTGTAAAATTGTTTTGATAGTATGAATAAACTGTTTTTTTAAAAGCCTTAGAAGTTAAAGCATCTAAATATTCCAACGCTGTTTTTAGGTTCTGGTACATTTGCCCGAAAACTCGGTTACTCATCAGATGTATATATAACTACAAAACAATTCTTTTGAAAACAAAATATAAACATGCCTAGTATTTTTGCACATTAAGCTGCAGAAAAATTACCATTAAAGACATAAAGTTAGAAAATGAGCAGTAACCTTCCCTTCTGCTTTTTTAAGGACTTTGGACCTTCCCTTTTTTTTTTTTTTTTTTTTTTTTTTTTGTGTGTGTGTGTGTGAGTAATTACTATTACAGTCACTAAACTATAATGATCCATGCCACTTATTATTATTAAATTGTAACAGATGCAAGCAAAATTAAATATGTGCAATTTAATGAACACCTGTAAGTATTAGTAATAAGTTATGCAAACATGGAACATATGGACTTCCTTCATGACATTGCATATAAACTTGAATTGCAAGTTTGTTATATTGATAAATTAATATATTGCATATATATTTCTTAAAACATCTTTTTTATAAGTATTGAAAATTTGAATTTGGGCTGTTTTGTTAGGCTCTTTTAGGTACAGATGTCCAGTCTGTATTGATGGGGTACCATGTAAAAACTGTACTCGTAAAATATTCTCGTGTATAATTAAACAATAATTATTACTCTTGAAAGCCATTTTTTCATGAGCTTTTCTGTCAGGGCTGATTGCTTGGGTCTATTTTGATGGGGTACTGCTGTATTCAATGCTTTATTGGAAATATATTTTTTAAATGCAACAACTGATCAAGATATGCATATGTATCCATAAAAAGCATTTTTTTAAATTTAAGTAAAAGATTTAAATGTTATATTTTTTATTACTGCAAAATCGCATGTTTCTCATTAATGTCTAGTACCATCTTTTAAATAAAATAGTTTGTCTAGTTGATATTTAATGCGCATTCACAGCAGTAAGTTCTGACTTTTGTAACTGCTTCTGATGAAATAACTATAATGTTTTGGGATTGCATTTATCATTGTGATCGAAAGTTGATTAATGCTGTCTGCATTTTAATCAATTTTTATATTAATTTATCTTTATATGATTTGTTTTTTATTATAACAATTAATTAATTATCAATAATTGTATTTTTTAATTATAAGTATTTTCAAGTTTTAAGTGACAAGGAATAGTTTCTCATGCTGATCGGAATAATCTTATCCATTCCTGGCATGAAATACGAGCCATCTAGTGGTAAATAAAAAAATAATCTGTTAGGCAAGTACCCGTCGGGCAAGTGACATCGAGCAACAGTGTTTTGGGCAAATGGCCTGATGTGGTTCTTAATAATATTTAAGCATTATCAAAGTTTTAACTCTGAGAGGTACATTGTTGCTTAATGCCAATGACTGAATATATCATTCATTATCATTACATTCCTGGTCAAGAAAGTTATTGTGATGATTGATTTTGAAAGGTTCTTTAGTTTGCTGTCATCCGTGGTGTTAATCCAATACTGGGACTTCTTTCTTCTCACACATTATTTTATTTATATATATATATAAGAGGTGTTAATTAGATTACAAAATATTTACATAAGATTAACATTAATTAAAGTCAATTTGAGAGTACATGCCTGCATATTATCGTGTAGTCCTTTTAGGATATATGGCGAGTGCACGCCTGCGATAATCGTGCAGTCACCCTAACTGATTCTCCCCTGTGGCAATCAATCGCCAGAGGGTGTTGTACAACTTTTTCCCTCAAATACCAGGGGGAGGGAGGTATCAGACATTACAGTTATATTGACATCTCTATTAAATGTAGTGGTTTCATATTATATAAACTTGGACATCTTTTGTAGAGGTAAAAAATGTAATAATTTTTTATGTGTGTTGAAATACCTTTAACTTGAAAAGTATGGTCAAACTCTGTGCATTGTATTTCCAATGGTAGTTTCATTTCTTTTGACCTTATAGAACTTTAAATTCAGAATTAAATAGCTATGATTGAACAACATACCTGAAATGATTGAAGCACTATGATCATCTGCTCAATATGGTAATCATGTGTGCATTCATCCAAGCAGGTCTTATATGATTAAAAATGGGAACTAAAATTTATAATGACTCAGTGGTAGCTGATGCAACAATATCAGATATGATACATTTGCAGAAACCCTTGGGAATTTCATTAGGATCTTTGGGGGGGCTGGTCCAGAACAAATGCTACAAACAGCATGTGAGAATTTCCATAATTCCTTTTTGCTCCCACACCATCTGAAGAGCAACTCAGCAAAAAGAGTTCCCTCCCACAGTTGATTAATGCATACTGTGGTAAATTATTACATATCATTATAATTGTCACCATTTTCTTTGAAAAGCTCGTTGTCAGTGTATCTTTCAAGTACTTTCCATTTTCCTCCTCAGTGAGTTGCATCACTAAATCTCATGTGTCAGGTGTTGATTACTGTAGCATCTTTTTCTTTAACATCCATCTTATTCCTCAACTTATTTGCTTGGTATCTCAAACTTGGACAGTAGCAGGATTTCTTCCTTATGTTTTAAATCTATTCTCATAGTCTGGGTAGTATAGTGTGGTGTAGTATTAACCTGAAAAGATATATCTTATAAATGGGATTTAATTTAGTTTCAGCTATCAGCTTTCTTAGTTAACAGTGATCCCTTTTGTGTCCTGGTATCAACATTTTCTCAGGTAAATAATATAGAAATGCTTATCCAAACAAACAGCACTGGCTGATTTATGACTAAGTGACTGAATTCATGGGACAAGTTGTTCAAGATTCAGGTTTTGTCAACTGGACTGTACAGACTATCATAACTTTCTCTACATGCAGAGAAATACAGAGTAATTTTGGAGTCTGGATCATGAAATAACCCTTTTCTTAGACAGATAGCTCTCTAAATCTTTTTCAGAATAAGCTAATATACCAGCTACACAGTTTAACTGGAAATGAGATTAATTTGATCAAGCAACTTTGTAACCAGTTCAAATATTTTTTGATATTTCAAGTTTCATTGTATGTGCTCTCAGGTGAACTGGGGTTTGTATGTGTGATTAGAGCTGTCTGTGCCTAGGCAGCCCCATTTTCACTGGGATTTTGTGTAGTACATTTTATTGTATCTTACCAGTGCATTCAAAGTATTTGCTTATAAGTTTTATACCAAAATCTTTCCTCGCTCAGATTATTATTAATCCATGTCTGTCACATATCTTGCTGGCAAGTGCATGGTTTTTACCTTCTTGAAGTTCTCTTTGAAGACAAAACTGACTGTCAGCATTCTGTAAGGCATGCTATCTCAAAATAATAATAATAAATAAAAAGTTTTGACTATGTAATTTGACCTTCAAACTCATTTCAGCTTCAGTTCTTGGCCTTTTCCATCTGAGAAATGAATAATTCGTTAGCAAAATTGAACAGATTTTAATTTTAGTTCATGAAATTGTCCTAGATATGTACTGTTACATGAATTGCTTATATAGAGGCCCTATTCTAGCATTTTCAGTAGTCTAGGCAGTCAGTACAGCAAGTGCACTGTATAAGTTAAATGTATTAATAATTCAAAGGTAAATATAGCTTTAGTTGTAACTTGTGATAATAATTCACCTATCACCATTTGAAGATTAGCATGCTGTACTGGCTCTGATGCCTGTATGAATTTGCATGTTTCATTCACTAAAATCAGTCTTGTTTTAACCTGAAGTAAATGGAATTTTGAGAAAGAAAATAAGGTATTAAAAAGTAAAATATGTATAATGTACATTCATTAAATTAAAAATCATTAAATAAATTTACATTAATTAGCATGAAAACAGTTTTATATGTTGCTGTTTTTACAGGATGATTTTGATAGATGTATTTGTTGTGCCCTTTTCTAGAACTTTTGCGTTTCTGCTCTCAATTCCATCCACCTTTCCCATGTATTTAAAGTTTTGCATTTTCAAGGCAAGAAGAATCTCTGTAATATTCCTAAATTTGTAGCACTAGTTTTGAAGGTTTAAACCTAGAACTGTCTTTAGCTACAGAATTGTAAATGACGAAAGAGAAGTCTGTGCTCAATCTGTAGCAATAAAAGGAAGGAGGTCCAGCTATTGGTGCCATCTGTTGATGAAAAGTGAAAACAAATGTGAAATAATTTCGTTAAAAGCTGCATGTGAAAATGGATTAAATTGGTATTGTTAACCAGAACTGAAGGATTTTTATTATTGCAAGACGTTTTTGAATAATTTTAGCAGCTCAAAAATTAAAAAATGATTTTCTGACCAATGGTGGATTTATGTTTGTTTTTCCTAACATGTGCTTCATGTTCCTTAGCACGAAATTTTAAGGTTCTCTAAGTTTGGTTTAATCAACACACTTTTGTTATTAAAAGTTAGTTTTATTCTCTGATTAATTAGCAAATGATTCTCATCGACATTGAAAGTATTGTCAGATGAATAGTGGGTACAAACCTTTGACTATAATACAACATTTGTCAAGTTGCAGTTTTTACTTCCATGATAATCTTTCGAATTATAATGTTAACTTTTGCTTCAATCTGGCCAATCATCCTTCTGAAAACGTGGACTCTGGGTTCTTGTCCAATAATTTAGCTGTAATCATCAAAAGAAACCCTTAGAAAAGTGCTAAAAAGTAAATTGATTGTGCTTGTTCAAAATCATCTCATTTAAATGAATGATACTTTTTTATATTACTCATGTTTGAGCTCAAAGTATGCAGAATTCTATTTTGTAATTCTGAAAACACTACTTGCAGTTAATTTATTTATTATACCTTTGATATGTAACTACGTGCAAGAAATTATTTTAAAATTACCGAAAATGTTGGTTTTCTCCTCCAAAGGAAACACTTTATGCTTTGAC